GCTGCACCTCCGTAGTTGTTCCTGATGGCTTCTGTTTGTTTGTGTTTCTCCTAAAACATGGAAAACAGGCTCCAGAACATAAATACACGTATTTCCACCAGCATTTGAACTGCTACAGCTTTAGAAATCAGTGCTGCTCTAGGATGGCCGGCCATTAAGCCATCCGTCCTTTTGTTTTTCCAAACTATTTTATTTACTTTATTATTAATTCTCCACTGAGTGGAAAACCCCTTAAACGCCGGGAAGCACAAGATTTGTTTTTTCTCCTAACGTTTACCGTCTCAGACAGCTGTGTTGTTCCACACTTCCAGCACACACACACAGACAACGCTTGACAACAATGTTGTGTTTTTATTTCTGAGTCATTCTCAGCTACTTAAAGCCACCTCCCAATCTCCTTCTTAGACTTTTTTGCCTGCTGTGATGACAGCTTCCAGAGACTTCTCTATATAATGGGTTATGCAAAGCACACCTCCTGACTAATCTCTGCTCCTTTGCACTGGTGAAGAAAAGAGAAGGCTTTTCTCCCTCCTGCAGGCTAGTCGCTGAGGCGTTAGCCGACGTTAACGAGTCAAGCAGCAAGGATTTATCCCTGATTGTTGTTCTGAACCAAGTCCCGACAATGATGGTCTGAAAGTGAGGCCAACGCGGAAATGAAATAAATTGCAGTTCCACCCTCATTCGCTGGGGGCTGGTGTCAGAAGCGAGCAAATCCTCATTGACTCCCATGTTAAAAATACCAATTTCACAGCAGAAATAAACATGTTTACAGCCTGGTACCAAAACATGTTTTTTGTTTAAATGATCTAGTTTACACTCATGACATGAATTTTTGTTGTCACTCTTCTGTTTAAGTGTATTAAAAACCTAAAATTCTGTATAATTAATGAGCATCCGACCCACATGACCACAGAGCTAGCTCTGGGGAAAGGCCTCAGTCTGAAAACTGTTCTGCTATTTTCAGTCTCTCAACTTAGACCATTAGTTGTAGCGTTTGTGTATTCTTTTTTTGGATATTATTTGTGCAATTGTTGGACAAAATGACTTGCTGTGGCATTAATTGCACTAATAGAGCATCCAAGGAGTCTCCTTTTCATTTTTTTCAGTAAGTAAAATTATATTTAAGTATTTTAGGTCATGCCGAGCTGAGCTTAGATTTTAACATGTACTGTTTAACCATGAAATTTAAATGTAATAGGGTAAAACCCAGTGCATTTAACATAATGCTGCATTTTAGAAAATGGGTTGAAATATAACATGTTGGTGGAGCTGGGCTCCGACTATCGGTATGGTCTCCTCCCCGCAGCTCGGCGCATCTCTGTCTGATCGCGGCTTCTGTCTGCTGTGCGGCTGCCGGCTTGTGGAGCTCTCGGAGACCTCTGTGTTCCACCCGGTTTTACCCAGCGGTCAGCCCGGTGTATCTCTGACTCAGAAGCTCTGGTGTTGAGCACAGTTAACTCCGGTTGTAGCTAGGTTGCAACCTCCGTTAGCTTAGCTCCCACCTCCGTGTTAGCTTTGGGTTAGCTTCAGGTTAGCTTGTAGCTAGTTTGACCGGGTGTCGTCAGTTGATCCCAGCCTTACAGCCCCACCCTCAGCTCCTCCTCTCTTCCCTTTAGTGGAATTGTCTGGGCTTGATGGAACCTGTGACACGGTCAAAATGGCGGTGGTGGCCACCTCCCATTTTGGCACAAAAACTTGTTATTGGAGTCTATGGAAATGAATTGTCCAGTATATATATCGATGCTAGGAGCTGACGCCGATGGTGGCATCACTTCCTCCTCCGTTTATCCGCGGGCAGCAGAGGACGTTGTCGCCCTCTGCTGCCCGCTCTCCCCTCTCCGATGATGCAGTTCCATGCACAATCCAATGTGTAGACCCCATCGTCTCGGTTCATGGTCCCACATCCATGTCTCCTTATCTCTATAGCTTCCTTTATCCATCTTTTGTATTTCTGTTGTTCGGTGTTTATGATCCTTGTGTTGTCCCATTCCATTACATGGGTTTTCTCTTGTGCAGTGATTTGTTATGGCTGACTTCTTTACTGAACTTTCTGCTTTTTGTTTTGCTAAAAAAATAAATAAAAATAAAATAAAAACATTTTCTGTGTTAAAAAAACAACAACTAAAAATGGAACTTTTTGGTGTTACTGGAGACTTTTTTTAAATTCACATGCATGACTCATTTGCAGTTTGGATGCTGGGGGTAAACATCTGCTTTGGCTGCATCTGAGCCTCGGTGGAGCTGCAGCCCAAGAACTAGCTACCTGCTATTAGTGCTCTTATTGGTGGGAAGAGTAAGACAGATACATGCCTGAGCATGGATGTAGTTTTGGGGCGAGGCAGGGGGGACATGTCCCCGCCACTTTTTACAAGGTCAATTTTTGTCCCCTGCACATTTTACCGTCCAAAAACAATACCACGCTATATTAAACAGACACTGGTTGAGCACTAGGACCAAGCGGAAAATAACCGCTTGAGTTTAAGCCTGTTTCCCATTACAACCGTCCATAAGCGCATCTATTGGGTCTGCTGGTACTTGCTAACATGTGATTGGCTGTTCCTGCCACCTGTGTATTGACAGTTCTGCATTACTGACATTGGATAAAAGAGCCTGTAGGCTGTAGTTTTATACAGATTTTTTTTCTTTGTATACTTACTGAAGCCCCCCCCCACCCACCCCCACCCCCCGGTCCTCATGCTGGTTGAACTACGTCCATGTGCCTGAGTCAGTTTCTTCATTTAGTCCTTTATTGGTCCATATAGATTTTTTAATGTAGATTTTATCCAAAAAAAATGTATGATTAAAATGTTCAATGTTTACTGTGACTTGGGCATAAAACACACACGCACGCACGCACACACACACACACACACACACACACACACACACACACACACACACACACACACAGACACACACACACACACACACACACACACACACACACACACACACACACACACACACACACACACACACACACACACACACACACACACACACACACACACATTAAAAATGACTTTGTCAGAGTCTCTTCAGTGGTCTTTGGCCAATCCTAAAATCCTAAGTCTATAAAGAAGGCGGGTTTGTAACTCTGATATGAAAAAAAACCAGCATCTCACATCTTCTATTACAATTGAACATTATGAAAATGAGGTGATGATGTCATTTTGCAGCGTCTAGCAACTTTTAAGACAGCCAATAGCTACTGGCCGTGCTGAGGAGTTGGCACCACTACTCGGCTGTATGTGTGAACATGCCGGTTGCTTGGTGCTGTGTGTGTTTTTGCTGGATGACAGATTTTCTTCTTGCTGCGTGGTACGTGCACTGATTTGGTTTCTAGTGTGGTTAACACATGTTGGAGGTTTTTGCCTAAGTGTAGACTCCCATGATATATTTTTGACTTTGGCACTTAAAACCAGATGAAAGGTATTTTAAAATATACTCGGAGAATGCAGCTGTCTTCATATTGCTTCAAATGATTACTGTATAAACATTTAACTCAGCTGATATAACCATAGATTTTTTTGAGGGTTCACAAACCTACTATTGGAACAAAAACTCCAAACCAGCAATGACATTCAACCAAAAACATTTTTGTTTGAATTTTCTCCTTAAATAAAGTGCCCAGTCCTGCACCTGAAAGCACCTTCTGAAGTTCTGATGGAACAGAAGTTACAGGGACACACATGGTTGTCTTTTCCCCCACGGCTAGAGGTTTCCAATTTGTAATACATTCACCTTAAAGGCACACTTGGCAGTTTTAGCATGCCTTTTAGCCCCCCCCCCCCCCCCCCCCCCCCCCCCGTGTCCATTTAGTAGAACCAAAAGCAAAACTCATCTCCTCGCTGTGAGTTCATCTTTTTTAACAGCTGATACGTCTCCTCAGCCTTCATTAGTACCTGCAGGAGCAGTTCATCACTAAATTAAACAAACCAGCTGTGTTCATAATCCTTCTGGAAGTGGATCACAGTGTCATTCATGTCAGCTGAACTATTTTCTAAATCTAACAGGTGGCCCACCACTCTGAAGATGCAAGTGCGATATTCTGGCCACAGGGATCTGGGGGTCTGAGTGACATTTCATTAACTCTGTAAAGGGTCATTTTAGCACATTCTGGCTCAAGAAAATTATTTAAAAATATGAAAAAGGTGCAAAGTATCTCTTTAAAAATATAATAGCTGACTTGAAGAGCAATAGAAAACCAACTGGAGCATTACCGCCACCACATGTTTGGGTTAGTAGTTATGTGTTAGTCAAGTGGTACTGGAGAAAGAACAAAACAAAAACTACATTACTTATTCACGAATCGTAATGCTTTTTCCGGTGTTCGAAGATCCCTGCCCATCTCCAACCCACACCACCTGTCCTTCAGCCACCATACCATTTGTCGCCCACTACCAAGCACAAGCCTTGCAGAGTGATGGCTTATTTGGTCCAACTGGTGTTGTAACAGTCCACACTGCACCTCTTGGAGAATTGCTCTTTTGTCCCCTTCTTCTGGTTCAGTGCTCAGAGGGTGAAATATAACCCTGATGGGCTTCCCCAGCCATTATTGAAATGGATAGACAAAGGAGAAACTCCTTGAAAGACGAGCTCTCCAATCAAACTGTCGCTCAAATGAAAGACGAGCCCAGTTGCCAGAAGTAAGAAAAGTTACCACTTCAGACAGAGGTGTGTGCTAGGCACCAACAGAATGAAAAAGAGTGACAGCGCTGCTGGTGTGCCAAGTGTGGCTGTGTTTGTTTGTTAAACAGTTTGAAATACTGTAGGCTCTTTTTTTATTGCACTACTGCCAGAGATTAGATCAAAGTTATGAATGAGAAAAGACCTCATTTTTAAACCAGTCTTTAGTTTATGTTCTGTTGCAGCAGTGCCTTGGGGGGTAGGACTCTAGAAGGCTCTGCATCCACCATTTATCCATTTATCATGTAAAATGAATCAAATGTGTGGCATCTAACAAAGCGTATTCTTTGTGATTTCCCTCTACCTTTCAGCCTGTAAGATTGGTTACTACCGTGCTCTGGCCACCGATGGTTCCTGCTCCAAATGTCCACTACACAGTTACTCCATCAGGGAAGGCTCCACGTCTTGTGCCTGTGACAAGGGATTCTTTCGGTCTGAAACAGACCCTGCATCCATGCCCTGCACCCGTAAGTACAACCACATGTTTATGTTGCATAACAATTCACATTGTCCTCCAACCACATAAACAGGAAAGTCTACTCGGGGTGAAATGGTTACTAAGGTTACTAATAGTCGAAATATACTGAGCTATCAGTTAGTTTTTATTGACAGTAGTAAGCAGGCATACCTCGTTTCTACCAATCTTATTCTTTTTCGTCTCAGACTGTGTTACATGTGTTCTTACACATCTGGTCAATTTGTCCTTGTTTTTCCCCGTTTGTGTGGAGCAGTAGGCCAAAACTCCCAGCATGCCCAGGTGACATGTATAAGGGCCTCATACCGTTTCCTACTCAATGATATGAGTGAATAGTGCGAGATTCCAGCCATGTTGACCACTTTAATAACTCCATGCTGTGTGACCCATGTTAGCCTAATCTGCTGCATAGTGGATTCATTGATGTCATGAAATTAACATGTCATGATATGGTTTCCTGGGTAAGAAACCCATCCATCCATCCATCCATCCATCCATCCATCCATCCATCCATTTTCAACCGCTTATCAAGAGGGGAGTTGCGAGGGCAGCAGCTTAAGTTGAGAGGCCCATACTTCCCTCTCCCCAGCTGCTTGGGCCTAGCCTAGTGAACTAGACCAAATTCTTGCTTTGCAGAAAAATAATACATTTATTTAGTCTGGCTTGCCAGGCTAGCTTGGGCCAGCTGCTCCAGGCAATCCCAAGGCATTCCCTGTCCAGCCGAGAGACATAGTCCCTCCAGCATGTCCTGGGTCTTCCCTTGGGTCTTCTCCCAGTTGGATGTGCCCAGACAACCTCACCAGGGAGGTATCCAGGAGGCATCCTAACCATATCCAGTAACCCTGGAGTATGAAGAAGATTTGTCATGTACATTTACAAACTGAAATCTATCAGACAGGTAGGATTTAAACCAGCCTAGCGCTGTTCCTTTGATCCCTACAACATGTTCAAGCCTTTCTAAAGGAACATTGTGATCTACTGGAGATCTAACAAGACTAGAACAGACACAAGATTCTTATCTGACGCCATGAGAATATCATTTGTAACTTTCACTAATGCAGTTTCAGTGCTGTGATACTCTAAAACCAGACTGAAATTCCTCAAACAGATCATTAGTGTTTAGATTAGGGATGAGCGAGCACACCACTATCTGTATCTGTATCTGTTCAACCAACTAAATTATCTGTATCTGTATCTGTACTCGGAATGGGTGTGGCATAACCCCAAAGTGGGCGTGTTTTAACTGGAAGTGGATGTGGTTTACATCAATATATTATTTTAAGTCTGAAATTTATATGGAATGATCAGAAGTTGCTATGTATATTGTTTATTTGAAAACTATTTACAGAGCAGCCTCAGAATTGAGATGAAATATTTTTGATCACAATAGTAAAGAAACTATTACAGAACAAGTGTTTCAATAAAATCAGAACATTAATATTTAAGTGCATGGATTAATACATCTGAACTCATGCAGTAGGAACTAGGAAATATGAAATGCTAGAACCAGACACAACTTTATATATATATTTTTATTTTAATTTGATTAAACTGATTTTTTTCTTAACGTTCTTGGCCTTTTGCCACACAAAGTTAAACAAAACAATGTTGATTAAGGTGTGTGTGTCTGAGAGATAGAGAGGGTGAGAGGGAGAGAGATGGAATTAAAAAAATAAAAAACCCGACCGGAGCGGAGGTAGTGAGTTAATGCAGCACGTCAGCTCTGTCTTGTCAATGCACCATGTACAGTAAGTTTCGAAAAAAGTAACTTTAAATATTCAACTGAAAAAGAGGTGAGCTGAAGAAAGCCTAGGGAAAACTGAAGAAATGTGAGCAACAGTGAAGCAACCACAGCGAGATCCTTTACTGTCTGTGTGTGTGCGTGGATGAGCCGGACGGACTGCACTCCAGGCCAGCTAGAGAGTTTTGTGTGTAGGGAGGGGCGGGCGCTCTATGTGACTGGCCAATCACAGAGCGTGAAGACAGTCAGTTACCCAATGAGGATTTTCCTTCAGCACGATTACAGATATTTCCGAGGTTTACTCGTTTCATGCTCGTATTCGTCAAAAATGCTTTATCCGTACCAGATACTCGTCTGAAACGAGTATCCGGCTCATCCCTAGTTTAGATGCTCGCATACTTGGATGGCCACTATTTTCTCAAGGACTTTGGATAAAAATGGAAGGTTAGATATTGGTCAATAATTCATTGGGTCATCTAGATCCAGAGAAGGTTTCTTAAGTAAAGGTTTGATTACAGCAACCTTTAAATCCTGTGGTACATACCCATTTACTAAGGATAGATTGATTATATTTAGAATGGGGGCAGTAACCAAAGGAAATGCTTCTTTAAATAAATTGGTTGGGATTGGATCTAAATGCAAGTTGAAGGTTTAGATGAAGCTAATATTTTTGATAACTCTCAAAGCTCAACTGGATCAAAACGGTTCAAGCACAGATGAGGTTCTACAGTCACCTCTGATGCTGCCTCACTTACTGAGGAAGAAGAAATCGCATTAGGGAAGATGCTAATTATTTTGTTTCTAATAGAATGAATTTTACTCGTAAAAGATCCCATAAAGTTGTTGCTGCTGAGGGCTAAGGGAATAGATGGTTCAGAGCTATGATTCTGTGTAAGTCTGGCAACTGTATTTAGGATTTTTCTTATTCTCCTCAATTAGCAATGAAAAATAAGCCGTTCTAGCTTGTCGAAGCTTATTTTTATAAAGACAAGACTTTTTTTCCAGGATAAGTAGGACTCCTCCTGATGTTTAGAGTGCCATGTTCTCTCCAATTTTCTAAACTTTTGTTTTAAGTTCGTAAATGAGAGTTAAACCAGGGAGCCAACTTCCTGTCCCTAATTACCTTCTTTTTTAAAGGGGCAACATCATGTAATGCCACACGTAAAGAGGAATTAACATGATGAACTAAGGCATCAATTTGTGAGGGGCTAGAAATGAAAATATTGCCCTCTGCTACGTTCCTCTGAGATGCTGAGGACAGTAAAGATGGAACAGTTGATTTAAAAGATGCAACTGCGTTGTCAGATAGAGACCGACTATAGTGAAATTTACTTTCATGTCTTGAGAACTCAGTTATATAAAACTCAAAGGTTATCAAAAAGTGGTCTGAGAGGACTGGATTATGTGGAAATATTGTTATTTCCTCACACTCTATGCCATAAGTCAGCACAAGGTCTACTGTATAATGGCAGGAGTGGGTGGAGCTATGTATTCTTTGGGGAAAACCAATTTGGTCCATATCACCCAGTCCTCTCTGTGGCCCATGAGGTCTTTTGGACTCCCCTGTTTCACAGGATCTTACTAGTATGCATTCCTGTCTGAAACGGCTCATGGCAAAAATAGAACCTATCTGTAGCGTGTGGCCTGCCAGTTCTGGTTAGCACCTATTTCCACACTGGGGCTGGTTTGAATCACCTCCTTAGACTATAATGGATTTTATTTGAAGCAGCAACGTTCCGTGCCACTGATGCTTCCAGTGTGAGGTAGGGTTAGTGATAACATTTTCTATCTCATTTGTATCCATCTGGAATTAAAATCTGATCTCTGTTTCCTCACTTTACACCCCTGACTCACATGCCTTCATGCTATAACAGTCATCTTTCTGACAAGTATCAGAAATGTCTCTTTGAGCCATGGGAGAGTTTACACAAACTCATCACACACAAATTCTTTATTCCCCTTGAAAACAACTTGATTCATGCTTTAATGTGTGCAAGCCTTGATAAAATTGGTTAAGCTGCTTAGCTCATTGTTGGCTTGTTGTTCTTCCAAACTGTGGATTTATCATTCTGTAGAATAACTCATCCAAACAAGCACCTCTTTCCTTCCTCTCTATGCACTGAGATGATCTCACCTGTGGTTTTTATCCAGGTGAGATCATCCTGAGTGTCTGGTTCTGGATTAATGTTGGATCTGCAAATAATAAAGAAAAACTTGAACTTTCCTTTATGCATGGGAAAAGGAAAACAGCAATGGTTTACATGAAACAAAGAGACATTTGTTTAACTCTCAGTGTTACTATTCACATCAAATCAAGTTTCCAACCTGCTGCAATAAAAACAGAAAGAAGATCATCAGGCTGCATTTCATGTGATGTAATCACTCCAGCTCTTTCTGTTCCCTGCTGTGTTTTTCAGCAGGTTGTTTTCAGCACAAAAAACTTCTTTTGCTCATGCAGCTTTCTGTTTCATATATATATATATATATATATATATATATATATATATATATATATATATATATATATATATATATATATATATATATATATAATTATCATTATTATTATTATAGAAACAGAAATGATACAATCCAGCTGTTTTATAGCTCCCTCCCAAAAAAATCAGTTAAATTTAAAGTGTCTGTGCTAAGAATTGCATAACCTTTTTCTAATGATTATTCTCTAAAATAGATTTGCTGTGTTTGTTAAACTCCATGTGAACTGGAATAATCCCAGTACTTCCTGCACCTCCCTTCTGTGTTTTAAGGGACGAGCTGGGAGGTCATCCTCATTGTCCGGTTAGTCAGCGTGGAATTTCACAATGCCTGCTGCAAGTAACAGCTGTCCAGACTCATTACTCGGCTCATTTTGTAAGACCCGGTTTCGACACTTCGGCTGCATTCCTAGCTTCACGAATAGGAGCCGAACGTTGGTGTCAACTCTCACGCCGACCTTTGGCCCGCCTCGTCAGTCGGTCAACATTTGAGCTTTGAACCTTCACCCTGTCTGTCGACTGCTCTTTTCCTTTCCTGTTTTTTTTTCCACTGCTGACCTGTAAGTGAGAGCTCTGCAATTACAGTCATCACTTAGGAAGCATTCATCAAGATTTTGTTTTCATTTTGTTTCTCTTTGTCTAAAAATCCTCTCAGAGCAAATAAAAAAATCCCTCTTAAAATCATCTCCCAGCTCGCCTCGCTGAAGGTCAGACTGGAAATGAGCCAGCATCTCTGGTAATTGGGCAGCGTGTGTG